AAACTTTTTAATTTGGTCAGATCCCATTTGTTTATTTTAGCTGTGGCAGTGATTGCCTTGGGGGTCTTCCTCATAAATTCTTTGCCTAGACCAATATCCGATAGGGTTTTCCCAACATCTTCTTCTAGAATTCTTAAAGTTTCATGTCTTAGGTTTAGGTCTGTTATCCATCTTGAGTGAATTTTTGTGGTATATACTCACAATGGAATATTACTCAATCCTAAGAAACAATAGTGAACTAGCACCGTTTATGCTATCCTGGATTAAGCTTAAGCCTGTAATACAAAGCGAAATGACACAAGACCTGGAAAATGGGCTACACATCTACTCGCCATCAAATTGGTACTGACAGCCTAAAACTATGGTGTTCAAATAATTGTAGTGTTCAACAGGGATCTGGGGGGGAGGAGACCCACATCTTAAGGATGTGATGAGCATTATAGGGGAGAAAGGATTACCTCTATCCCTTTTTAGGGAGAGGCAAAGAAACACACTGTAACCAAAATGTCTAAAAAAAAAAAATTTTGTTAATGGGAGTGAACAGGTGGAAGGGGGGAGAAGGGGAAGGGTACGCACTTTCATGGTGGGTGCAGGGTGCACCACTTGCAGATTGGACACTCTAGAAGCTCTGGCAGAGCGGGGTGGGGGGGCAGGGGCAAGATATGTAATCCTAACAATATTTGTACCCACAGAATTTGGGAAAAAAATAAATAAATAAAAATTTAAAAAAATATACTGATGCTCAGGCCCCACCTCCCAAAATTCTCATGTAACTGGCATAGGGTGTGACCAAAGCCTTAAGAGTTTTAAAATCCACTTAGATGATTCTACTGGGAAGACAGCATGAAAATCACTGCTTTACACCTCTCTCCAACTGGATCTTCTATTCACCTGCTCACTATCTAGTTATTTAGCAAAGAAAATATGTTCTCCTTTTAATCAACCAAATTATAAAAAGATTTTAAATCGAAGTTTGATGCTGCTAATTCTAATAAGTCCTGAGCTTCTAACTCGTATCTTTCCATAAAGGTGGGGGGTCTGAAGACAGAAGCGACAAACACAGGCCCAGCCCGGGAACTAACAGCTATTTGACCACAGCCTGGTATCCCCTCGAAGGGCAGAGCAAGGGCTCGTCCTTTAGTGTCTGGACAGAAGGAGAATTTTAGGGGCGGTTTGCAGATGCCTAGCCTGAAGGGCACATTGCTGTCCCTGGTTAAGAATCTATAACTCCTCCCGGGGGGGGAGCTGCGCTCTTTTCCTCCTTCTGGATCAAAGCCCAGTAGGTGATGCACTTCGGATGAACACGCTTAACAGCAGGGAGCTCTAATCACATGAGCATTAGCCCAACCTGGGCCCCCTCCAAGAATGACAACACCAGTTGGCAGGAGGCTGGGATAGCCAGCCACCATCTATGGAGGAGGAAGCCAGGGAAGCTGGCCAAAGGGACTCTGCTTACATCACAAAAAAGGCCAAGGAGGAGGCTGGGATGCCCCAGTCCAGGGTTTCCTGCCTGTGAACTCTACTGGGCCACAGGATTCCTCGTTTCTAAAGGAATGGGCAGCCTGACTGGGGCCTTCCGAGATCTTTGCACCTACGTCGGGTTAACACTTTATATGGAAATCGGCTTACATTACAATCTGAGTAGTTTAATGTATTTACAAAGACAATTTGCCCCAGAATGGGTATCTGAAGGAACTGATAGATGTAGGAGATCTATCTCCTAGTATCTTTTCCATAAGTACAGATTCTCATCTGCCAGGTACACCTGGGTGGAAGAAGAGAGGCAATGCCTCAAATCACCTTAAGTAAGTCAACTCCCACATCTGGGCCTCAGTGTCCCCAATGTGTAAAATAGAAGGACTCAGTTTCAGTGATCTGTAAGGGGCACCTTCCTATTTAAACATTCTATGGCCCTATCTAAAGGATGAGGCTTTGGTTTTAAAAACTTGCAATAAACTGCTACAATCCTAAAATTTGATGCCATGGTTTTTCACGATTGGAATTTGGTCCATATGCCCATCACCTGGGACTGTGTAAAAAATTCCAGAGAGGATGTAAGAGGAGATAACACAGGCAGGATGGGGTATCACCTGCCCTGACTGGAGGTTTCTGATGTTCTTGTTTTGTTCCACTGCACTGAGCAGCAGAGATGAATGAATGCTTTGAGCCCACACCAATCAGGCTTTCACCGCCACCTCTCCACCAAAATACACCCTTCCCAAGCTCAAGGTCACCAACAGCTTCACACTGTTAGAACCCGTGGCAGAGTCTACCCTCACCTGACCACACCTCTCAGCGACATCCCTTGCAGTTGACCTCTCCCTGTCCCGGAACACTGGCTTCCTCTGGCTTCCAGGACACCCTCATGCCTCAGTTTCTTCCTACTTCTCTGACTGCTCCCCCCAGGTCTCCTTAGCTGGTTTCTTCCCATCTCCCCAAACCCTTAAGGTTATAATGCCCCTGGTCTTTTGACCTCTTTTCTTTCTCTATCCACTCCCCTGGTGATCTCATCAGTCTCATGGCTTTAGAACCACTAGCGATTGCCAACATTACAGCTCCAGCCCGGCCTCTCCCTGCTATAGCTCGCCAACTGAGCCTGACCCAGCTGCACATGCTCAGGATGAAGGGACTTGTTTTCCTAGCACAGTAGTGGGAAAAACCATCTCGAGTTTTTTAAAGCTTTCTTTGCAGAGAAGGATGGCTACTTGCTGCTTACTAAATAGCATGTTTTGCAAAAGTCAAAAGGAAGCTTCTGAGGAACAAGACAATACTCTATAGGTAGCTGGTCTTGTCACATGCACATTCATTAATTCATTTCATGCACAGAAAGAATATGCCCCATGAATCTGAGGGAACCACTCTCTTGGGAGACCTTGTCCTTGGGGTACCTCTGACTCAACATTACCAGGAAGATACCTCTCATGTTGGCCAAACAAGTGAATGGATGAAACAAAGGCATAGTTCTATGCCAGTTAATAAACCAAAAATCCAATTAAAAGGCAATGATATATATTCAGCAATTAAATTTTGAGCCCCAACAATATACAGGAATCGTGGTAGGTTCTGCCTGCCACTGGCACAGCTGCAGGACCTTCCCAAGGCTATGTGTCACAGAGGCCCTAAAATTCTTGCCCCTAAGGGTCTAAATGTTCTGGAATCAGTGGGCCAGGTCACACACTCTGAGAAGCAGGGGCTCACTCCAGCCTGCGCTGCTTCACCATCAGTGGCCCTCTGGCCTCACAGGCCTGCTTGTCTGAACACATACAATTGTTTTCTTTCGGTCGGCAGCCTTTGGAAAACAAGCACACGAGTGAGCACAGAGCAGACAGTGTAGTCTGGGAACTATTGCTCAGAAGTCCCTTTGAGAAACGGCTTCTAGCCCTTCCCTGCTTTCAGGAGATGGGAGAAAGATAGGAACGGATCCACGAGGGAGGGGCCCGCACTCTGGGAAACGTGAACTTTGGATCTGATCACCACCCTAATGAAGATCCCCAAAGCTACCACCTCTGGGGGGGTTTCTCAGGCAGGGAATCCTACCAGGACTTCGGTCAACAGGAGTCCTAATCGCCTCCCACCTGCCAAGCCACACTCCATGCAAAGGTGCGGAACAACCGAGGCATGGAGACACGTGTTCCCTGCAGCCCGCAGACATGCAAATATCTGCCCACGCAGGCCTTGCTGTCATCGGCAGGCGCCAACAGGGTGGTCTGTTCTCCCTTTCTGCAGGCAGCACGGGGCGCCTCTGCCCTGGTGGCCCGGCCAGGCCTCTGCAGAAACCCCAGGAGAGGCCCAGGCCTCCCTCGCCTCCTGCTTCCTGAGTCAGGATCCGGTCGGAATGAAAGATTGTAAAGGCCCTTTCATAACGGGACTGCCTTTATAAATCTTGCCTTTATTTTGTTATAATCTCTACATTTTATTGTCCTTTTAAAGTTACAAAACCGAGCAGGGAAGTGCAAGGAGGAGCTGTTTTGTTTATCTGCTCTCCGCTTCCCCCTACCCCTCCATTTGGAAACGGACACAAGAAATTTTTCCCACTTGTGACTGAGGCTGCGGAAACCTCGACCTGTTTTCAATTACTCCGTTGTACATCACGTGGTTCCACCCCTTTCTCAGTGGAAAGAAAACCGTGGCTGGAGCGTTGCAGCTCCAGTGTGGCTCTAAGTCCTTCTGGGGTAGCTGGTACACATTCCAGCACAGGTAGGTCCCCCTGAAGGGTGGCTGGGGACAGAATGTGGGACCAGAGAGGAGAGCACCCCACAGGGTTGGGATCCCTCCTTACATGTGGGAGGAGAGGGATCTGAGGTGCCATGCTGAGGGCCCAGTTCCACATAGCAGAAGAACAAGACACACCCGAGGGGCAAAGTCTCCAAGCTGTACCCACCAGGCAGGGCTGAACAGGTGGCTACTCAAGCCTTTAGTGTGCATCAGCAGTCCACCGGCAAGCTTGTCAAAATGCAGATTCCTAGGCTCAGCCCCAGAGATGCTGATTCAGCAGGGCTGGAGTGGAGACCAGGCAGGAATCTGCATCTTTTTTCAGTTTCCCAGCTGATTCTCGTGTAGATGATCTCTGCATTGTCATCTGAGAAACTTTGATGCAGGACAAAGGTGGTTAGACTAGAGACATTGGTCAAAGTAATTTGCAAAGAGTACGTGCTTCCTCCAGGTACTACGAACAAGGCCAAGGTCAGAGACTGGGAAATGAACATGAACACCCTCCTAGCTTGAAGGGTAATCACTATGGTGAACAAGGCTCTGTGGAGCATCTGGAAGCCCATGACCTGGCAGACGGCACACACAATGGCATGGCGTATGGGGTATGCCACATGGCACATATCAGGTGAATCCTAAATGCTTAGTGTTCATATCACAAGTAAGGAAACAAGGCAAGGGCCTAAGCAAGTGGCCTGGCCCCTCCAAATCTACAATTAATTAGTTCCTTAGAATTTAGAACTGTTACAATTTAGAACTTAGAGTTCAGAACTACAGTGAGTTCTCTAAAAGGTCCTTTGGGCAGTCCTACTTTCCCTGAGCAGAAACTGTGGTGAGCATAGGGGTGGCATAGAAGCCATAGCTCGACCGCCTTACGTCTTATGTCAGCAAGGATAACCCTGGATTCCGTGAGAGATTCTATAGAAGAATTGTTAAAGAGTTTATAGTATAGTCAGGGAGACAAAGTTAACACATAAAGCACTTTAGAAAACTTGTCTATTTAAGTAAGCCTGAGTATTGGATAACACTGAAGTAGTTGAGCTCAATCTAGAGTACAAAGGGGGTCCTGTAAGGCCAGGAAAAAGCTCATAGACTAGGCAGAGGGTCAGGATTAATTGATTTAAAATTATCATCCTTTCTGCACAGCACCTTTTTCCAGTGGGCCTGACCCTGTTCTTTGCAGTTCACACCATCTGAAAATACACCTCAGCCCCCTGGTTCCCCTGACAGCATCAGTTCTCACCTTGCACCTTTTGACACTCACCTTCATCTTCTTGCCCCGTTCCTCTTCTTCTCAGCTTCTGACAATCCATCTTCCCCACTGAGGTCTTGTTGTACCCTTGAACCTGACAGTAGACACCACTCCAGTTTTGAGTTTTGCTGTCCTTGCTCTCCCCACTCCCAGCACAATGATGATGATTTGCAAACTCCCTCCAGCCACCCTGGATATTTAATCATGCTCCCTGACCCAACCTCGTACCCAACCCTGTATTCTCATGCCTTGGCATAGCTTCCATGGCTGGCAGCTCTCTGGGATTTTTCTAGCCCTCGAGGAGAATTCACATGCTCACGAAGGGAGAAAGCCAACAGGTGGGTGTGGAGGGAGCGAGGGGAGAGGGAAGATTAGGAGCAGGAGGCAGAGAGGAGAGCCCACATGTTGACATCAGTGACAATCCTCCCTCCCAATCGGCATATTTCCTAATCTCTACTCCTCTGTTGGGAAGGGGAGACCAGTTGTTTCTGAACTCAAATAAAGGTAATCTGTGGCTTGGATCACCAGCCAAGCACAGCTTCTACAGCTGTGTGGGAAGGTGGAGGCTCAACCGGCAACGAAGGGGAGTCTGACGAGGTCAACCATCAGTGAAAGGACCTTCGTGCTCTTACCTGATCGTGGCCACAGCCAGGCTGGAGCCGCATCCGTAGCCCCAAAGCCTTTGGGGACTCATAACCAAGCGGAACTCTGAAAGCCAATCTCCGCATGATCCCCAACTGGCTTTGTGACCAAAAAGCAAATCACATCCCATGCAAGAGCCCATCTTCTGAACATCCCACTGCAGTGTCACTGCTGGAAGACAAATCTGATATTCTAGGAAGTCATGTAGTTTGTTTCCTCTCATTTTCAACTTCCCTGCCTCTCGGACACATGTGAACATGGGCACACCCACACACACACACACACACAGAAATTTAAACTGCCTAAGAGCAAGAACAATCCCATATTTTACACATTCCACAATGCCTGGAGAATGCTTTGCACACAGTAGGCCTCCAAACACATCCTGCTAATGAGCAGGATTCATAATATTAAAATATGTGACGCTGCTGAGAGTCTGAACCATGTGAGAACCCATGAAGGATGCCACATGCAAACATCGTCGGGGTCCCTCTCGTGGAAATGGAGGCTGACGGCTGTCCATCTGCCCTTAACTCACAAGCTCAAATTAATCAAACACAGAAACTAAAAGAAACTTGTCACATCCTGTATATCCTTAGTTTTAACTTTTGCTAAGTTTCCATGACAGTGAGCATCTATGGCCAATCAGTAGCCACCCGCCAAGGTACAGCCCTTGGAGGTTGGGGGATTTATAGCCTGGAAGTTTATAGCTTGATCGAAGAGGGTGGCGGTAGTTAGGCAAGTAAGGACAGGTAAGAATTATCTATTTTGCCCACTCTAGACAACTGTAGAAAAGCCACTCTTCATTGCCCCAAGTACTCCTCATGGATAAAGATTTGCTAAAAGTATCTGCCTGGGGTCCCCGCTGTTTCCTTCACTCGTCATGACTCAGTCGCAGCAGTTCCTTCTTTAGCATCATCTCGTTATCATTGGCAATCGGCAAAGACCTTAGGAGAAGGCTCAGGGGCCTCCGCCTCCTGCAAGGGAGCATGAGGGGTCTCGGGTGACACTGTTCATCTGGGCTCGTCCAAGGTCTAGGCCAGCTGAAAACCTTGTGGGAACAGAAAGTTCTCTAAGCAGGAGGAAACCAACATACCCGCACAAAAATGTCCCTGGTAAATTATGCTCTGATAGATGGTCTTTTGTGAATAGCGCAACATGTTATTTCCAGGAAAACACTGATTCAAAATACGCTGGGGAAAAAAGAGTTGTGGAACAAAGTCAGTCTTCAGATTCCCCAATGTTCTGTGTCCCACAGACAACTCGTGGCCTTTTCCCAGAGAGCAAAGTGTCTGTCGTTTTAGCGAACCAGGTATGATGCGATGATCTCAGAGAGAGAATAAAGTTACCTTGTCTTGGGTAAAGGCCACAAGGTTAAACATAAAGAAAAAGAACATAGACTCTGTATTGTTGAGCTGAATGGCCACCCAAATATCCCAAAGAATGAACTTTAACTTTCACAACAGAAAGGCAACCACAAGAAGTTTGGCAGCTCATGGAGCAAGTTCCTTTATGAATGTGTGGCCTTTACAGAGCTTCATCTTTGCACAGAATTAGCTCAGAGCCTGAGAGATGTGTGTCTTTTCCTGTTTTGTTTTAATGGCAGACTCAGGACACAGGGTACAGTTTTGCTTCTGTCTTTAGAGCTGTCCTTGCATTGCCCTCCAAGGCCTGCAGCCAGCTGAGCATTTTTGGCGAGACAGAAACTCTCCCATCCCAAGAATGCCCAGGAACCAACAGACCTAGGTGGTTCCTAAGCTTATTTCCTGTGTTCAGATTCTGGAGTGGAATCCGAGTTTGGCCTTTCTACAGAGGCTGGAAGGTAGAAAAGGTGAAAATTTCTCTAAAATGTTTCCAAGTTTTCTATTGACTGGATAGACAACAAACCTAATGGCTGTTTGGAGGAGCAAGCTGGCTGGCAGCAATTTTCCAAGAATTTCCAAATAGCAGTACGTGGCCTAAGGAAGGGAGGCACCAGGAATGGAGTAAGAGGGGAGCAAAGCAACAAATGATTTATGGATGCCCTTGGCAATATAAGGTTGGAGTGGACAGCACAGCTGAAAGCATCTTGCTACTGCAGTGGAGAAATTAGCCAAGGGTGCTGTCAATCAGAGCTACAAAGGATGGCAATTTTGCTCTAGCGAAGGGTGTGGGCACTGAGCAACCACCACCACAATCTGCCAGGTTGTGTGCTGTGTGTTTTCACCAGGACTGTGTTTAGGGGGGTGTCAGAGAGAGTGAGAGTAAGAGCAAGGGGGAAAGAGAGAGAAAGAAGTAGATCATCTGATTGGAGTAGAAGGGGAAAAGGTTGAGGAAGGTCTCTGTCCTGTTCTCTCTGATTTATTATGGAGGAGGAAGAGTCACTATCCGTAGTAAATAAACTAATTAATGCATCAGGAAAACAGGGAGTCGAACTTTTGAGAAGGCAAAGGAGAATCAAAACCAGAGACAGGACAATGATTAATGAAAACACCTGGCAGAGAAGTGAAAAAGAAAAAAGGAAACTTTTGCTTTCTTGGAAACACATAGTTGGTCTGAGCCTCATCCTTAGAAGTTAAGTCCAGTCCTTCTGGAAAAGACGTGTGGACCCATGAAAGGGAGCCACAAGCATCACTCACCCCCTGCAGGCCCTGGCAGAGGTTTGGAGCCTGGGACTCCCCGCTGAGGGCTGGGAAGGTGGCTCTATGATTGATACAGACAGTCAGGAGATGCATTGTCCTTTGAGAGGTGAAGAGGAGGTGACCATGATTTAGCAAAATACTATTGTCCCCTAATGACAGATGTGCTTAGGTGGTTCTACACCAGCAGGTGTAGTGGAAAGAGTGTAGACTTTGGAGTCAAACAGACACCACTTTTCTGTGTATGTACAATAAGAATAATCATGATTACCCCAATCTTGGCTATGGCTTTTAAACGAAATGGCACCTGGAACATAATTTAGATTTAGATTAGATTAGATTTAGTTCTTTAGAGTTAATGTATTCCCTTCCCCTCTTCATGCTGAGATAAAGAGTACCAACAGAAGAAGCTTGAGACACATTCTCTAGAGACAAAGAAACTAAAAGGCGTAGGATAATCAGTGGTTTTGCTCATTGATTCTTCCAGTGAATGGTTGGGAGTGATGGACAAGAAAGGAAGACATGAGAAGAGAAAGAGGACAAAATGGAATTCAAAACAAGTTTTGTGTTTCTGTTTCTTGACTTCAGACACTAAATTTACAGCTTCTGGTTAAGAGTAGAGCCTCTCTCACAATGCCTGAGACCAAATGGATTGGTCCAGAAGCTTTAACTAATGGGAGAGGAACTATAAAGAATGAGAGGTTTGGCAAGAGAGACAACATTAGAAAGGTGATCTATAAATCACATGAAGAAATAACTAAAAAGCAGGCAAAAACATTAATAATGATCTCTATGTTCCAATGTCAGAGCATGAGCAATAGGGAACAGGATACCAACATTGAATGGAAAATCTGATCTCAAAAGTTTCATCAGAACTTGTTGGAATAGAGCTCGACATTGGAATATTGCCAGCATGCTGAGAGGGAAGACAAAATAGTTATAGACCCAAATAATTCTCCATGTTGCTGATGGTATTACACACCATAGGCAGAGGTATAAAAAATGGCGCCAGTTTTATGGAGGGCAATTGGAAATGCACAGTGGAAGTTGTGGTGTGCTGTGAGAGTCCCCATCTCCCTGCAGAAGCAAGGGGGTCATCCCCCAGCTGCGGGAGTGGAGTCTGCTGTGTTGGTTTCCAATAGCTGCTATAACAAATTACCACAAAGTTGGGTGACTTATGTTTTAAGCAAAGGTTAAAAAATGCTTTAAACATGTGTATTATCTTATAGTTCTGGGCACCAAAAGTCCGAAACGGGTCTCATCTGGCTAAAAGCAAGGTGTTGGTAGGGCTGCATTCCTTTCTGGAGACTCTAGGGAAGAATCTATTTTTTGTTTGTTTTTGTTTTTGTTGGGGTTTTTTGTTTTTTGTTTTGCCTTTTCTAGCTTTCAGAGGCTGCCTGCATTCCTTGACTCATGGTCCCATTCCATCTTCAAAGTCAAGTCTTTTGTATCACATCACTTCGACACACTCTCTCTCTTCTGCCTTCCTCCTCCACTGACAAGGACCCTTGTAATTACATTGGTCCTACCTGGCTAGTCCAAGCTAACCTCCTCATCTTAATTCCATCTGCAACCTCAATTCTTCCTTGCCATGTAGCCTAACATATTCACGGACTCCAGGGATTAGGATGTGGACACTTTGGGAGGCTGCTATTCTGCCAGCCACACCTGCCAGCAGGTCACCGCCGAGCCTCTGATATATAACCATTCTTCAAAGAGGCCAACCAGTGACTAGACAGCACATTAATTATGTTGAACCTCTTTCTCCATGGAAGGGCCAGCAATCTGTCTTGAAGGAAATCAACATATATTAATACTTGGGATATAGGTTTTCTGCCTATTAATACTTGGGATATAGGCTTTCTGCCCATAGATCCTCAGCCCACCATTATTTTATCTCACATTGTTCGATTCACTAACATGGGAGCCCACATAACATCACATGGTACTCAGAAACTCACTTTAGAATAAAGGGGGTACAGTAGTGAGAGCATGACCACAGAATCCACTGGACCTGTCACTTCCTATACTACCCAGAAGCTGCCGACTTTATAGGGTAAAACGAACATCCTTTTGAAGCTACTGCAGAAGCAGCACAGTAGAGATGATGCCTAAGGATGGAGTGCCATCCTCCAAGATGCAGTGCACACCCTTAATAAGTGACTATTATATGGCATTTTGTCCCCTCTATATAGACTACATGGTTCAGGGTAGAAGAAGGGGTAATTCCACTTACCATTCTGCCCAGTGACCTGCCCAGTGACCCACCCAGGGAATGTACACCTTTCATCCACACAACTCCGGGCCCTGCAGCTCTAGAGATTCTCGTTCCAAGAACAGAAACACTTATACTGGGAACACTGCAAGAATCCCATTAAACTTTAAGCTACAGCTGTTGCCCAGGAACTTTATGTTTCTTGTGCCAAGAGGCCAACAGGCCAGATAAATAAATAAATAAATAAGGCATCACCATCCTGGTGGTGGTAACTGATCAGGAGGAGGTTGAGCTGTTGTTAAAAGAGGGACAGAGAAGACTATATTTGGCTCCCAGAAGGACCTCTGGGTAATACCTTGACTAATTCTAATAGTAAATGGATAAAAGCAAGAGTTATGGCTTGACAAGGGTATGATGACCATAGGCTCAGATCCTTCAAAGGATGAGGGCTTGGATCACCCACCAGGTAAGCCACCTGTAGCAGAGCTGTCAGCCAAGGGAGAGGGAAATTCATAATGGGTTGTAAAGGAGGAATTTGATGAGTATCAGTTGTGTCCCTGAGAACACCTACATCTTTGAGAGCTATAATTTGTCCCATTAAACTTCCTCTTGTAAATTTCCCTAGGAAAAGAGGCAAACCAGAATTCTAGAGGAGCTGTTCCAATACAGGATGAATTTTTCATAAGAAGCAAGTGGGTCCAAGAGGTGCAAGGGATGGCTATAATAGATGTGACACCTCACCAGCTTCTCCCCTTCAGTCCTGAAGACTCATTCCCCCAGCTGCCAGGACTGTTGGCTGCCAACAGCTAGCAGGTGAGTCCTTCTCCAGGAATTGCCATTGGCTAAAGGGAGATGCCTCATGTAAGGTCATAACCTCTCCATGGAGACAACATGCATCCAATGAGTGTTAAATGCAAGAGCACCAAGGCTCAGCCCCCTTGCCTCAGTTGGGGACAACTCTTGAGGGACCTGCCAACTCCAGAGTACTCCAGGATCAGCTGAGGCCATTATTGCAATACACCATAGCTCGGCTTCTTTGCCTGACCCTTTCCCTCGCTCTCTCAAGGGTGTTGAGGGAACTCTTTAATAAAAGTCCTACACACAAATCTCTATCTTGGAATCTATTTCCTTGCAACATAATCTAAAACATAGCATATATCAAAATCCTTAAAAACATTCATACACTTTGATCCAGTTGTCTCACACCTAAGGCAATGAGAGATGAAATCAGAGTTTTGAGTTTGCTGTTGTAACATGATACTTTTTAAAACTATAAAGAACCTAAATGGTCAACAAGAGAGAAATAACTAAAATAAACATATATTATAGAATCCTTCACAGCCATTACAAATCATATTTTTGAGGAATATAGTGACGTAGGAAAATGTTCTCAATATAATTTTAAGTGAAAACAGCAGGAAACAGAACCATAAAATTATAAATGTTTCACAAACATTACTTGAACTGTCATGTGTCAGAGAAATTTGGTGAATGTATGAGGAAAATCCAAGGAGACAGTCAAATTTTGTTTAATTGCATAAAATTTGATCTCACAGTGGGACCTATTTTTAGATAAAATAAAGATAGCGAATTCTCTAGCACTGGATATTTGAAGAATAGCATAAACAGCACTTGGCAAGCTTAATGTAGAGTGGAATTAAGTATTAATTTAACATTTTAAGGCACCCTCTGGAATTCCATTCCACAGTGGGTAAGTGTCTTGGAGATGTGTGGTTTTCCTTTGCTTTCCTTTGTTTTCCCTTGGTTTGCTTTGCTTTGGTTGGTTTTTCTTAGTTAACGACTTAACTCTTAAAGATATTTGATTTCTTTGGCTTACATTGACAATTCAATGAAAAGGAATTTTCTTGATCACCCCACCTCAAAATCCTACAACCCTTAGACCTTTATCACAAGCATTAGAGGAAAAGAATTCAAATGAAAGAAACTCATTTAAGATGATACTATCAAATATCTCTAGGCAATAGAAAAGAGTCACCCACACTTAATATTAAGGGGAGGGAAATGCTTTTTAAAAATACAACTTTATATGCAGATAAACTAAATGCGATGCTAAGTTATGTCTCATGTTGAAATAATCCCACCTGCATATTCTCTCACTTTCAGCAGAGCCCAACCACACCAAAGCAGTTCAAAGACTCTGACCCCTGTCCACCACCAAGCCCTTGACAAGTTCTAGGTCTGAATATAAATCAAACACTCTCATGTTCCCAGTTCCTTATCCCCACCCAAGATATTTCAAACACCTGGAATGGATAATTAGAAGGCTTTAAGGAGTGAAATTTAAGGAATATATTCCATCCCAACCACTGCTCCACACTCACCTGACTACTCAGCCTCTGCTGTAGATGGGAAGATGACATTTAAGCTCCATGGAGAGGGATCCCTGTCTCTCTTCATCTTCTGTGCAGCCCTCTCTTCAGTGAGGAGCTTCAGTCCCCGTCTGTCCCTGCCCTGCCCCTTCCAACCCAGGATGTCCCAGCCTGGCCACGGATGAGGAGTTCCTCCGAGCAAACGGAGCCTATGATTTTGTGTGTTCTCTGTTAGTCATCAAGGGATGCTGTTCGCCTCTCCCTCCCTTTTCACCTCATTGTTCTCCACAACATGATTAAAAATGCAAGAATAGAATGAGGAGAGTTGGCTAGAAAAATCAAAGAAACAAAGGAACCCTCAAGTGACTTCATGGTGAAAGAAAACTAACAGTAAAAAATAAAAGTATTGTAATAGATTTATTTTAGTCCTTCTCCATACTGTCTAGAGAACCAGGGAAGTCTCTTTGATGTAGAACCACTGATTGAAGAAAAGCCCATGTGAAACCAGGACACTTGTGTTTATTCAACTGATATTTTTAAAGCACTTGCTAGGTGTCAGGCACTGTACTAGACGCTGGAGATATATAGGCCTAGACACTGCCCTCATGGGAATTATATTCCAGTGGCTCAAAGATTTATCAGAAGATTGTCCCACAGTACCTGGTAGACTGAACAACAATGCCCGAGCTTATCCATCCCTTACATGTTGCCAGGAGTGCCAAGAGAGGGAAATACCAGCCAGAAACTTCCTGCAAAAAAGACTAACTGGAACAACTCAAGAAAATCTGCAGAGACGCTTCTGTTTACCTCTGTTCCTCTGCCAAGCAGAAGGGCAACACTGAACTAGAGAAAGCAGATGTTAATAACTCAAAAGAGGTGCTAATATCTCAGCTCAAGGCAATGTCTCCCTGGGAGCTTCTACAATTCCGGGCAAAAACTGCCAAGCAGGCAAAGTTGGCCTTGCAACCATCCCTCATTATCAATCTCCCAGACACCACATGCACGTAAGCTGCCTTAAATCTGCCCCAAATCCCCCAGTAAGCCTAGACATGCCATTAGACTGGTATCTGATTAAAAATGCAAATGAGGTTTAACCTTAGCGGGGATACCTCAACACCCCCTGGCAGATCTTCCACCAAGACAGGAAGAAGTGGTGTAATGGAACAAGCATGGGTTTGGGGCCAGAAAGACCTGGTTTTCCACCCTGGTTCCACCATTTACTATTTTGGATCCTCAGGCAAGTTACTTAACCTCACTTAAGCCTCAGTGTTCTTGGCCACAGAATGCAGATAACAATGCCTGCCCAAATATATTTGGGGAAAGATTAAATACAAACAAGCTCTTCCTTTCTTATCCTATCCTTCCTCATCTTGTAAAGGGAACCTATAAAGCTCAGCAAAAATAAAATAGGCATTGGCAGCAACCCCATCCTGAGTAGGGAGCACCTCCTGCAGTCTGCTGCTTTTGATTGCCTTGACGGGGAGATGGGGGAGCTTCCTGGTGCGACATGCAGAAACCTAGAGGAACCCCCAAGCAGGACCCAGGCCTCTGGGCAAAATGTAGAACAAGCCATCAGTATTACAGACCCCCTAAGAAAGAGCATGAAAAGCAAGGTGCATTCTTAATTATTTCAAAGAGCTCTGTGTTCTAAACAATCTGTCCTAGAAGTAATGCAGAGAAGAAAGACAAGACTTGGCTTTATTTACAAGGATTCACAGCCTTTTACCTGGCAATACCTTGGGGCTGGCCTCTACCACTACTTCCTAAGTAAAGTACATGTAAAGTCTAGCATTCTAAGCCCTGGCCCAAATCCAATCTGGACACACACTACTCTCTCTCAGGCATCCTGCAGTAAGTTCTAGCTCAGCTGTGTCATCCCGGCATGAACGACAGCCTTCTGCTTCATCCTGCTCTTCTGTCCACCTAGAAATCCCTCCTTTCATGTTTGCCCCTCGGTCTTCCCCACACATTCGAGCTCCAGCTCGATGGACCCTCTCCACTAAGAATAGGTAGTAGAAGCCAGAGGCCCAGATCAGAGTCCATAAACTAGGACCCAGGGGACTCCTAGGAAGTAGGGGGAGGGGTCTGGACACTGCAGACCTGGCACCCACTTTGGAATGTGGCTGTCAATTAGAATTCCCTTAGAATTAATTCAGATGCCCACATCCCCACCCCCAACCTACTGAATCAATATTCCTTGGGGGTGAGGGGAGGTGAGAGAGGTACTTGGACATCTGAATTTTTAAAGACTCTCCTCTGGATTCTAATGTGCCACCTTAGCTAAAAACTACAGCTTTCAGATAAAAGACTCTTCTATATAAAAGAAATTGGATACTATGGCATTACTTCAAAGACTCTACAAATATAGCTGATGGAAAATAACACAAAAAAGCAGTAGTTGGACATATATAAATCAAAGGAGCCAGGTAATAAGCAGTTTGGGATGTTCAAAGATCTGGGTAAGAAACCAGTGAAAGGTTTCATTATTTCTCAGAATTTATTGGGGAGAAGAGGTGTACAGGGGAGTGGAAACTGAACATTTCTGCACATTTGTCCTGAAACTAACCAGCACTTGTAGATCTATAATTAGCAAAGTGAGGATAGGGGTAGGTAAAAATGTAATTTGTAAATATATCAAAGATAGTGGAATATCTCAAGCAATAAGCAAAAAGTCTTCCTTAAGGACAAAACATGGGAAGCAACATGATATCTTGTTTTGGAAAGGGTAACCATATGAGAAGAAAGAAACACAGCAGATGCTGCATTTCTTGGACTTGAATTGCAGCATTTCATACAACAGCTCATGAAATTTTAATTGCTAACATGATGCAAATTGGCAGGGAGAGTAAATTACATGGGTTGAAGACTAACAAAAGATTATGAAGGAAAGGTGAGGCTCTGTAGCACACTTCCAGCAAGAAGAGGTGCTTAGCAGGGTGTCTTGGGGTCAGGGGTCACTCGGTCTAGATTTAATTTTACACTCCAATTAGCAATAGGGAAGAGAAAAAAAAAAGGCCCCTTAAAGAAAACTGAAGAAGACTTGCAGAAGGACATGTCGGCAACCCTCCCGGAGAAGAGCAAGGGGAGATGGATGAACTCTAGGCAGAAACACCAGAAAGCTGAGACTATTTATAAAAGGCAAAGTAGCTCATTGGAGGAAAACTTATTAGAAGCCCTTATACTTTAGAAGCAAAAGGACACAGACCACAGAAATGTCTAAGCTGTCCAGATGGGTAAGGGTGGACAGTGGCTGGAGAGGGGATCAGGCTGTGCCCGATCCCCTCGGGCCCCACCCTGCTCCACCCTGCCCGCCTTCAGTCACTATCAGCTGGAGATTGGGCCAAGGCAAACCCGCACAGTCTATGATTAACAGCTCTCCATGGTTTATTTCTAGAAAAATAAAATATTACAAAAAAGGTCCATTAACCAAATAATTCACTTGAAGACCTTTTTTCCCAACTACTGCCATAATTTGGTTGGCATGTGCCAATAGCCCAAACCAGAAGAGCATCCACACCTCTATGGCAGCCCAATCTAAGCAGAAAAAAGGGAGGTTGGGTTGGTGGACAAGGAGGGAAAGAAATGTTCATTACCAGTATCTTCCCCTGGGATAGTAACAACCACCAACCACCACACGCTAAGTGCCTGGTGGGGGTCTAGCCCAGTATGAGACACAAAATTTGTATTGTTCTATGTAACTACGATGGCAGAGTGGTGAAGGCAGGTATTAGACACGACTTGGAGAGGTTGAGCAGCTTATATGAGAACATGCATCCAGTGAGTGCATTGTCTGAATTTGTGTCCCTTGGGCTCCTCAATCTATTGTCTTTCCCTCTGTTGCTCAGTCACCCACTATCTAAGCGGACTTCAAGCCTACGTCCCCCATTTTCTCCCTAGTCTCAATTCTGCCACTGCAGGTTTGAGAGCATCATTGGACAGTGCTGCACACAGACCCTTTCCCTGTGGCCCCGCCAGTGAGGAAGCCTTTCTTTTACACAGAAACAGTGGTGGCAGTTTCCACCAAACTCATTGCCCCTTTTGGCTCCCTCCAGAGTCAGGGAAGGCAAAGCTTCCCTTCTTCTGGGGAGCAGTCCTACTCCTTGCAAATGCTTCCTGCAGGATTCTGGGGTTTCTGAATCCTAGTGAGTCCATCCCTGGCCAACTGAATCAAGAATCAGGTAGAAGGGACTGAAAAGGTGTTCTACAGTCATCACACACTTAAAAGGACATGGAGGAAAACACAAGATGCCCCAAGAAGCACAGGTAGGAACACAGCTGAGAGTGCTCACACTGGAGCTAGAGTGCCAGGGGGTAAATCCTGGCCCCAGCACTTTCTACATGAGCTTGAGAGACCTTCCTGACCTCTCTCGGCCTTGGTTTCCTAATCAGCAAAATAGGCTGTGACAAGCATTAAGCGTAAAGCACTTAGTAATGCTCAATGGTTGCTAGAAAAACAAAAATGGAGCAGAGGCAAAGATTCCAGAAGCCATGGAACGCACTTGCAACATCCCGAGATGAAGGCTCTTCCTTGTTTACTTCTCCAGGGACTCTTCTCGTTTCTCTTGTCTCGTGGAGACTAACATACCTCGGATGTTGTTCTCGCATCCATTTACCCTAAGTGAGATGGGAGTAACGGACAAGCAAAGTGTGCACTGCAGTTGGGTGACTGCCAGAAACAAGCCTTCTGGGGCAAACAAGAAGGGAGGGGCTGCGGAATGGGAAGGAAGAAGAAATGACCATGAAATTGAATTCCAAAGGGTCCAGGATGAACATTTCCAGCAATAACAGATGTTTCTCACTGACTTTAGATAAGACTTTTATGATTTGGACCTCCTCAGCAAACTGAGAGGCTGTTAAGATGTTGACAAGTTAAATCTAAACACAGAATGTCTGAACCCAAGCAGAAAAACAAGTCCAAAGAAGCCTGCAGGCCCCTCTTCCCATCACATGTCCCCACCCATCGGTCACCCACTGCCTGTGCCAGCTGCTGCCACTGCTGCCAAAATATGAGGCGGGTCTGACCCTAACAGCGCTCCTGCCAAAGAGGAGAGGAGACTCGATGAGGGTCCTGCTTACTCCGTGAGCGGATTCCACATGAAAGGGTTTCCTGCCACACACAGCCTTCAGCATGAGAAATGGAAAAGGCAGGGAACCTAAAAATGGTCACATTAATATATGCCGTTTTAGTATAGTTACTGGTCCCAAAGGTAGCTTTGGATGCCATCTTCGGCTTTCTTGAGATTTCCAATATCTAGAACATAACAGATGCTCAAAATACATCTTCAGAATGAAAAAATGAAAGCGTGCCTGTGGAGGGTTGGCTGGGTTACTGTAGCCCACCCCAGTGAAGACAGGGAAAAAGCATTCTGCTAAGGCATGCGATGATGAGAGAGAGGCATCCCACATGGTAGAAAGAGAACCAAACTTGGCACCCAGCCTCTAGACTGAGTGTGGAAAGGAATTTCCCAAGGCTTTCATTAAAAGCGCAGATCCTAGGGCTCCACCCCCCAGGAACTGAAATTCTAGGGTAGGGCTCAGGAATGTGCTTTTTTAACAAGTTCTTCAGGGGTGATTCTGATCCAGGTGGTCCAAGGTTCACCTTTTAAGGAACAACTGCTTGAGGTCCCACTTAATGGTAGCCTTACCTTGAGTTTCAAAGATGATCAGAATGCTGGCCGTGTTTTTCCCCCAGGGAAACTCTTTAGCCTCTTAAATATTAACGGATGCCAGCGGCCTCCAAGACCTAAATGCAAAAATGTTTGTTCTGGAGGAAATGACATGTAAGCCCACTCATCAACAAATGAGCCCCAGGTCAACCAGAGGAGTTTCTGGTGGAGCCAGTGGAAAGAAAAAGGGAGTAGTGCTATCTATTATCTGAGCCCCAGCCCCTGCCGCACTAAATTCCTGTCACATTAAGTAAGAGCCTTCTGCCTAAAAAGCATGTGTCCCTTGGAGAGAAAATTCCTGGAAAACATAGAGGTTTTTATTGTTTAGTTTTAGAAAGGGGACTGGGTCAATCCCTCCATTAACATAAAATATGGGTAAATTTAGAGCTTAGTACACTGCAAAGCATCATGAAAATTTAATTTTATGTCATTATTGGCTTGATTCTAATGGTGGGTTTTCAGGAGGAATAAAGTAACAAGAGCATATCCGAGTACTCGGCCAGGGAGAAGGGGCTTCGGAGTTGAGGGGTGCTCCACCGAGAAACCAACTGCGCCTACTGAGCTTGCAAGGAGTGCATGTTTTGTGCAAATTTTGAAAAAATATATTAAATGTAAAATTAAAAGTGAATATGTATTTCTATCCAAGTTTTTTATCCTTGGAGGCTCAAGCCCAAATACACAAAACTGAGTTCAGGAAACAGCCCCTCCCTGGACCAGGAGGACAATCAATGACTCAGCAGGTGTGTGAGAGTGAAGAAACCAAACACAGGACTAAGCAGGAGCTGGCGAGCTTAGCTCCCAACCGAAACCCAGCGACGTGAAATGCAATCTGCGCACTGTACCCAGGCAAAGGGACCAGAAGACAATGCCATACCCCACCTGTGCTGGAATGCAGGCTGTCAGCATCAAGCTCAGCCCCTGCAGCAGCCTGATGCCCTACCTTCTTCCAAACCAAGACTCTTTCCTATTTTGTTCTTCTGGTGTCTGTTGAGTGCCTACTGTATACTCTTAGAAGTATGGAGAAATGATTCCGTCTGCCTAACAGTGTGTATACCTGTCCTTCCAGACCAGTGTCCAGTCTCACTTGAAATAAGATACTCTTAAAGTCCCCTGCAGAATTTTAAAGAACAAAAAATGATCAGAAATTCAAGATCTGGAAGTACAAGCTGCTTACAAATGAATTGTATCCCCAAAGTTTCTTTTGTAAATTCATTGTTTAGAGGTCAGAACACATTTGTCCAAAGGGACAGTGTTATAAATGGTCGTCAGGTATGGAGTCCAATCCTAATGAATTCATACTATAGCTAAAATCATAAACATGTGCATTAAAAACTGGGAAAACTACATTATTATAACTACATTAAAAATAATTCAAGCAAAAAAAACCTTAAAATAGTTATTTTTAGTGAGGACATCCTCAGGAAACAATGTATACTTTTAATTTAATGAAAAAGAGAAGATTTTTGTAAAAAAATGAGGAAATCTACAATCATGAGGACTTTAGATTCTTATCTCATATCCTTTCTTTATAAAAACAGTACATGTTGTATGGAAATTTTAAAAATATATTAAATGTAAAATTAAAAGTGAATATGTATTTTTATCCAAGATTTTTATTCTAAACATATATGCATGTATTTTTTAATTGAAAAATACTTTACAAATATTTTTGTGATCTATTTTTCACTTTTTTATTATAAAATTGTCCATTTTGTCACAATCTCCTCAACACTTTTAAATTAACTTCTTAATCCTTGCCAAATTAATCAATCAAGAATTATATCTCATCTTGTCATTTATTTGATCACTGTTGAAATTGCTCTCCTCCAACTTAATGACCACTTCAATTTCTTATACATATAAATACCTTCTGTGTCCTTTGCCTCCTTTGCTGCTGGAGTTTTTACAGTTTTCTTGAGTTGAAAAGATTGTGAGTATATAATCATATCTCTTTGGACATATATACATTGCAATTATTTTCGTGGTTTGTCATTTAGTTTTGATTTGGTTCATAGTGTTAACACACAACATTTTTAAGTTGTATATAGTTAAATCTATCCACATTTTTTCTTTTAATTTCTCCCTAGGTTTTTAAAATTGAAACTACTTCCCTATATGCTCCAAGTTCATTTTAAGTTGGTATGTGATTTAATTTGTATATTTTGAACAGATAATGCACTAACCTGATTAAAAGGCCGGATCTACAGCTATCCCATTACTGGGCATCTACCCAAAAGAACAAAAGGCACTCTATAAAAAAGACATCTGCACTCGAATGTTTATAGCAGCTCAATTCACAATTGCAAAGCTGTGGAAACAACCCAAGTGCCTATCAATACATGAATGGATTAATAAAATGTGGTATATGTAAACCATGGAGTACTCTTCAACTGTAAGAAACAATGGTGATGTAGCACCTCTTGTATTTTCCTGGATAGAGCTGGAACCCATACTACTAAGTGAAGTATCACAAGAATGGAAAACAAGCACCACATGTACTCACCAGCAAATTGGTTTCACTGATGAACACCTAAGTGGACATATAGGAATAACATTTATCGGGCGTCGGGCAGGTGGGAAGGGCGAGGAGGGGATGGATATATGCATACATAATGAATGCCATGCGCACCATCTGGGGGATGGACACACTTGAAGCTCTGACTGGGTGGGGGGGGAAGGTAGGGAAGGCAACACATGTAACCTAAACATTTGTACCCCCATAATATGCTGAAATAAAAAAAAGAAAGGCTGGATCTATCTAGATAGGAAAACAGAGAGGTCTGGCCTGCACCCCTCTCTTCCTCCTCTCATTCATCCCCAGGCTCTGTAGGGGGCTGTTCTTATTAGTGTCTTATTTATCATTCCAGTGCCTTTTCATGCAAACTTTAAAACAGTTATTTATTTGATCCTTCTGGAATTTGTATAGGGTATTGCATTTTACGAGGATTGTTTTTTCCATTAAACATCCTAATTGTTTATGCTTTATATCAAAACAAACTGTTGATTTCTGAATATTTATTTTGAATACATTCATCTTGTTGAATTTCTAATAATTTTGCAGTTGATTGTCCTGGGTTTTCAGATAGATAATCAAGTTTACGATTTACACTGATAATTTTGTTCTCTGCTTCCAAATAGTATATTGTTATTCTAGTTCTTATTTTATTACATCTAAATAAATCACCATTTTTCTTTGTGATAGATTTATAATTAGCACTACTTATGCTTTTTAATCATAATCCGCATCTTTTCCATGGCTTAAAGAGAATGGCCAATGCCACATCTGGAGTTGCTGTTATCATTTATATTAGCGAGGGCAGGCTAGGTTGTATTGCTTTTAGTAAATAACCCTAAAATCTCAGAAGCTTGGAACAGCGAAGGTTTATTTCTCACTTGGACCACGAGTTTATCATAGGCCACGGGAGGCTCAGGTCCATGTCATGCAGGCCCGAGGCCCCTTCCCCCCCAGGTTATACAACCAAACGCTGTCAGCTACTGTGGCTGAAGTTAGAGGAAGGAAAGGTGGAAAGGTATGCACTGGCTCTTACAGCCTTCTGTCTAGAAGTGACACACATCATTTCCAATCACATTTTATTGGCCAAATCAAGTCACTTAGCCATGCCTGGCTTCCATAGAAATTCCTCCCTCCTACTTGCCTAAAAGGAAGACAACTTGGAAATATGAATGGACAGGACAAATACATCCCCATAGCACTCTAAAGCACACACATCCACATATACCCCCACAAATGTACTCAAATAGATTCCCTCACTGTCAGTGATAGGTTTCTAATGTATCTTGGGTGTGGGGAGAGGACAGAAGGGCTCTAAGCTAATTGTAAAGAGTAACTAGATGATTTTTAAATGGACTATAATCCAATAATACTCACATCCCATAAAGATTAGAGTCAATTAAAAGATTGGATTTTTTTTTTTGGTTTATAAATTCTTAGGGTTTTTACTTAATTCTTTCCTTCCTCTTAGGGAATATAAATTAATTAAATTTAACTATGATTTACTAAAGGCTGATTTCCAGATTTAGAGTCATAATCATATATGGCATAGCTAATAATTTAATTATAAGTGCAAATAATTCCTAAGAGGCCACACAGCTCATTGTCAAACCTTACTCATTTCAGAAAATTGGGGTAACCCATGTTCTAGAAAAGGCATTGCTCTATCACATTGAATAATAACAAAATGGCCATATATTCAATAAATACCAAGTAATTACTAAGTAAGTAATTTTTCCCAGTAAATCATTTCCAATTGTGTCAAAAGTTAAAAGTATCATTCAATCTTTCCTCATCTGAGGTGTATTGCATTTCTTATATATGATAGTTACTTTTACGTGTCAACTGGACTGGATTAAGGGATACCCATTCCCCCAGCTGGTAAAACATTATTTCTAGGAATGTCTGTGAGGGTGTCTTTGGAAGAGACTGGCATTAGAATCAGCGGCCCAAGTGAGGAAGGTGGGTGGACATCAGCTCATCCATTGAAGGCCCAAATAGAACAAAAAGGTGGAAGAAAGATGAATTTGCTCTCCTGGATCTGGGACATCTATCTTCTTCTGCCCTCAGACATCAGAACTCCAGCCTCTGGGGCCTTTAGACTCAGGGATTTACAGCAGTGCCCCATACACACACCCTCCCCCCCCCCCCCGATTCTCAGGCATTTGGCCTTGGACTGAAAGTCACACCATCAGCTCCCCTGGTACTCAGGCCTTTGGACTCAGACTGAATCATATGACCAGCTTCCCTGGTGCTCCAGGTTGCAGAAAGAATGTCGTAGCACTACTCAAACCCCATTCTAATGTGAGCCAATGCTGATAATCCATCCCCTCTTGTAGGTAGATGATAGATGATAGATAGATAGATAGATAGATAGATAGATAGATAGATAGATAGATACTCTATTGGTTCTGTTTCTCTGGAGAACCATGACTAATACATGGTACAAGGCACCTGTTTACTATAAAGAAAATAGAGTCATTCAATTCTCACCATCCCAGACAGAACAGGCTCTTCCACTATCACAACCTCCACCAAGTCCTTGTTGGCATGCCATGCCTGAGGCATGAAATCACACGGAATGAATTCTGGATGGAAATGGCATTCAGGAACAATACAGTTGTCTACAGTGTGCAATACACTCTCTCATGTGCCCCTGTATCTCCATTTTCTATCTTTCTGTAGTGAGAACACAGGAAATTGGTTTTGATATACAGATTAGCATTTGGGCCATTTATATAAACACATAATTCTGTGGACAGTATTATAGTTGATACGCTGCAGCCATGCTTCCTGCAACCTGTGAATGGGCAATAGATCATCCTAGCCAGGAGTTTTGTCTTTATGCGTCTTCTAAATGTATGAACATGAAGAAGCTGCTGCTTCTTTTCCCTGTTCCAGAAGCAACATATAACACCAGGCTTCACTCGTGCATAGTTTGAGATAAACCATTGGGAAGCCATGTTCTACAAATTACTTATTGGCTTCTGCTACCCATAGTAAATAACCAAAATATGTACTCAATTAAATAAGTTAATTTTAAAAACGGGTTGATTTAAGATTTAAAAATATACAAAATGTTTGTTTAGCATTGTGAGATAAAAAGTCAACTGACTGAAAGATTTGTTTTTCAAGATTATTTTTACATCACAAAGCACTGAGTAGGCACTGAATACATTCACAATTGGTTTGATCAACATAATTTATCCACCATCCCTAAGCCAAAGTTATCCATCTCTATTGATGAATAGCATTGGAAACCACCTTCATACACTGCATAGTAATATTTTTGTCAATGACAGACCACATACATAATAACAGTCCCATAAGATTATAATTCCATATTTTTATTGTATCTTTTCTATGTTTAGGTGCACAAATACTTGCCATTGAGTTATAATTGCCTACAGTATTCAGGACAGTAATATGCTGTACAGGACTGTATCCCATACCATACAAGCCTAGATGTGTCATAGGCTATACCATCTAGGTTTGTGTAAGTACACTCTATGATGTTTGCACAAAGACAAAATCCCCTAGGGGTGCATTTCTCTGGACTATCCCTGTGTCATTAAGGATGCATGATTATCAGAACTGATTATCAAAACAACAATCTGATTATCAGAACTTCAAAATGTGGGCAATCCTACAACATTCAGGGTTTACCTGATAAGATTGAGATTTGCAATTTCACAACCCTGGAAGTTGTCAAGATAACATTATAATAGTCTCTGATTGAGCTAACAGACACTTCTGATAAGTAGGAGCAGCTTTGTGGATCCATTCCTATTGCAAGACTTCCGGGTTGGGATCTTGGAATCTCTTTAACCTCAGAATCCTAAGTTTATAATGAAGGTGCATGATGAGTAGCATTTAGAAGATGCCCTGAATTCAGAGTTCCCCAATTAATCTTTATAAACAAACTCCTCTACTCTTCAACCTTTTGCTTCTGTCTATGCAAAAATCAATATAAGGGTTAGTTATTACTTCCCAGTGAAAGATTAGCATTTTAGGAGAAATAATTCTATATTATAATTATTATATTTTACAGCTATTTAGCATTTTTCATGCATAAACTCAGTTATAGATATTCTCTCATGAATCCCCAAAACATATTAGTGAACTAAGAACCTGTAAATATACAATTATGGTATTTGATACCTTATTAGCTACACAAAAAAATCAGATATTTTTATAGCATGTACTCCTTAAAAGATTTATCTATTGACCTTAAGATCCCCAATGGAAAAATCTCCTTGGAGTTGAGAGTGGTAGTGGTAGTAATAATACCAACATTTGCTGAGAACTTACCATAGCCCCAGCATTCTGCTAAGTACTGAACATCATTTTCTCATTTAAACCTCACATCTATCCTAGGACGTAGAAACTGTTATTACCTCTACTTTACCAGAAGTAAATCCCATCTAGAGCAAGTAAATGTTTTCCCCAAAGTCATACAGCAGGAAGACCAGTTAGGAGGAACTGCAGTGGTCTGCGTGAGGTGTTGGCAGCTTGAACAGGTCATAACGGTGGAAATAAAAAGCAGCGGATTTGAGGCACATTTTGCAGGCAGCAGCAGTTGCTAACTGACTGAGTGAGCCTGGAGAAGCAGCAGCAGCAGCAATCAAGGGTGGCCACTAGGATTCTGCCTGTGTCGCCTCCATGATGGCATTTATGTACATGAGGAGGAGTGAGAGAGGAGGAGAAGAAAACACTTTTAGCCACAATATA